ATGTCTCCGTATGACGCGATATCATTGATTATTCTCCGCGAGATTGGTATTGATTGGAGATGTTCCGAATTGCAGACACTCGAAAAATATTCAGTTTTAGGTAAAAATAGTCTTTTTACCTAACACACGTCAGACAGCGCGAAGCTTTAACTAACCTGACACGAAACTACCGAAGCAGTCGCTTAACTACCTCACTGGAGGTCGCTCCAATATTTGTTGTGTATAAACGAATAAGTGAGCATCACGTGCGTACTCATTCTTCCTGCACATGCTAGTCAAGCGTGTTAAAAATAGCAGATTATTAAGGACGACATTACATTATATAGCGTTTCTCACTGAGTGTGAATGGGACAAGAATTGAACAACGAAAAGCAACACTTTCAATGTACATGTCTGCGACTGTTGGGCAAAACACACTTCAATGGAAACAATACAATACTTCCCCGTGATCCTTCACTGGATATGGAGTTCAAATCACCGATTAACAGTTATTTAAAGTTTACCAGAAAACCCTGGTTCAGCGGTCTTACCTACCAGAAATCATACAAGATATGGACAAAGAACCTTTCAGCACGTGTGACATGAGATCTTCCGCTAAAGTATTTTGTTGTTGAATACTACAGTGTCAAACAGTCTTTCAGGGGATCATTTTTGGTCTTCGCGCTCAATAAAGTAAAGCGAGAGTGAAAGGGACATTGTCTTACTGGTTGTTCAACTTGAAAGAGCGGCCATTCAGGGAAGAACAAAAAATTAAGAAACCACTGAGAAAAAACCACCAGCATCATGCTTTTATATCCAACACTGAGTAATTCTGTGACTATTAAAAGGATTGGCAAATATTCGTTTAGCAGAACCGCTCCTTCCAGGGGCGAGTATTAGTTTCTTCTATGAGTAGACTTTATTTGTTCTCTTTCCATTGACTTCTCGTGCTTTATTGGACCTCTTCCTAGACAGGGAGATCCTATAAATCTGTATCAGTCACGATGGTGCATGAAATATCACTGTATGTCAAGGTGCATTCTAGTCATAATACTTGATTTATAAAACACTCCCATGGCTTGCACCCATTCCTGTCGATAGAACTGTATAATGACAGACTACAGAAACATATTCCGCGACGCAATGATCAAACAAGCGACTTGTTATGTACGAAAGTCACTCCTAAAGACTAGGGAGGATCATCAAACAAAGAAGTTCTCATGGCGACGACCCAAAAGGGACGTGGTAATAATAAGGCATGATAACTGATGACTACAGGACGCGCGACGTTTCCACCAGCTCCGAGCTCTTTGTAAAAAGCAATTGTGTGGGTCGAGCAGTAGTAATATAAATTAAAAAAACAAATACAGGATATGTACAAGCGAGGCAGTCGTGTTCAGTTTTTGTTAGATTTGTACTTCTTGGTCAGCGGTTTATCAAACAGCTGCTTGAAACCACCACCATGAGTTGCCTGGAATTTGATATTATGGGGATTGCTTGTAGACCATGGAGAGTCAAACGCCGTGGTATCTTGGTCAACCAAATGGGTATATTTGGTGCGTCCGGCACGACCGAAATTTTTGACCTACAACACAGGAGCAAGAAACAGTGAAAGGCAAATAAGGGGTCGTAAAGTATGAAAACCAAATTTTTAAGGGATCGCATATGAAATCAAGCCACGTCGACCAGTATGCGGTAGCAGATACTGGTAGACCTGCGAAAACACAATGTGGTGTTCTATGGGTATCAAGAATATCGAGAATTATTAACAATCCCTATACATAAAGGGCAAACAACTTTGATAACTTTCTTGTTAATACAACGTAGAAGATGGAGAATGAAAACCTGCAAGTGTGGAGTAAGTAACCGGAAAGAAAAACGACCAACAGAACACAAAAATATATAAAGAACCATCTCTCGATAGAAATCCCAATATGGTTTCTATGATTCTTATGAATTCATTGTTGTCATGGTTTCGCAGTGTAAGCCTCCCGAAGGAAAACCGTTCTTTACCATCTACAGTTTACTCAATTGTTCTTCTGCATCTAATGGAATTCTCCATTCTACCTTAGATGTATCTGTCCCAGCCAGAACACATTCAGCTCGAATTAATGTTAATGAAGGATTTTTTGTAAACCTGCCAAATGTGTTACCACTGCTCTGCTAACCTGTAAGCCGTAGCGCGTTCATAACACGTTATGTCAGTGGATGCCTTTCGCTTAGACTTCTTTTTTCTATTATTATTGTTGTTGCGTTGGTATCGTGATTTTCCGCAAACCGATGATAAACATATGCACCATCATGATAGAACAAAACGACCTAATAATCTGGAAATGAAGTGATGAATTGCAAAAACAAAATAGCGTAACTTTGGATGCCTAATTGTGAGATGCATATATACATGTTCGGCAGCGCAAGAGAGCAAAACAAAATTATACCTGCATGACTGTTGGCAATTTGGTTTTGTCGAAATGGTCTTCCAGAGTGGGTTGAGCAAAGTCCTGTTGGAAAACTTGATCTTCCACACTGCTGACAAAGAAAGCGCCTCGGTGATAGTATTTCTGAAGGAATTTGTATTTCCCTTTGGTCGCCTGGTTGATAATTTTCTTTGGGTTGCGCAGAAATTCTTCACGACGCTGTTCATCAGTCATCTGTCGTATGCGTTCAATCTGTGAAAGAGAGCGGTAAGTGAATGAAGGGGGTACAACTAAAACTGATTGCACTAAGAGGATCAGCGGATATACTAGAAAAGGAAAGAACTGATATTATCCCTTTGGAGACGGCAGTTGTGGAACATTTTATGAAAATAAGTCAACAAGTCGGGCACATAACTACCCTAGCTTATATTGTGCCACTGATAATGACAGCCTTCAACAAAATTATATTGGAAAGGCGAGCGTGGAGACGGATCAAATTCCACATCCAGACCTATGTTCTGAGAACATGAAACATCAGTGCATGTTCTACTTGAATATATACAGATATAGTTAATACGGCTGTGAATATTTTGGACAAGATCTCAAATAGATAGATCAGATAGATGATAGATAGATAAATAGATAGACCTAATGAGCGATAATAATCGCAAAATCGTTTGCGTACCTTCGTAGAAATGGTTTCAGTCATCAAAATAACATATATCGCTCATATGTGTACGCATAGACAGAAAACAAATACAGAAAAAAGTACAATAAACGCAGTTGATCACCGAAAAAAAATAAACGATGCTTTCTGAATAGAGGCCTACTTCGTTCTTTTCTTGCAAAGCTGCCTCGCGTTGTTCACGATCTCTTCTGATTCGCCGTAATTCACGAACTTTCCATTTTTCGTATTCTTCTTGTTCAGCTTGAGGATTTCCCTGCCCTTCATCCGAATCCAGAGCATCTAAGGCATCTTCCAAGTTATGAGCTTCTTCCACTTCGCGACGCAGCTCACTTTCTAGAAGCTAGAAGTATAGAAAAAAATAGAATGCTCAAAACATGCATGCCCTCCTGAAACGTTTCACTTAATTCCAGCAGGAAAAGCAATGACATTACATCATGCATCAAGTCTTCTATTTACGGGACGTTGTCCGGTAATACATGTGGCTGAAATTCACCACTAGCGTCTTTTTAACCCATCTCCCATTTTCGAGTATTTTTAAACTACTTGCAGATAAAATCGTTATTCGCATAAAGATCCTAGCACAATGACATGTTCGATATACGGTCTAGACTCAGATAAGTCAGATGTAGGTGTCAGGAACTCTTGTCCATCACATTGTCAGATCCTCAAACAGCCCACCTGGCATTCTCGGTCTTAAAACTGCAGAAACAACCAACAGCTAAAAATACAGATCATTAGCATAAAGTTATGCGTAGTTGTGTGACCCCAGCTCTGGTGCACAAGAGCATACGCACACAGCCTTCTGATCCGTGCACACGCGTGGGGATCTGTGCGTCGATTGCAACGCTTACAGATGTTCTGGAGACAGCCTAGTTGACACAGTCAATCAATGCTGCACCAAAGCTTGGTTCAATCTATACATAAATCTGCCCTAACGATCAGTTATTTTAAAATCCAGGTTGTCTGAATTAGCGAAACTGAGAATTCGACTAGAACCGTTTGAGGATCTGACTATTTAGCGTATGAGAATTTCTGATGCATCTGTATATCAGATACCGGCTTTTTGCCGTCTCGTAATTGCTATCGTTAATTGTGCACCGTTGTTTGGTCCAGCCTGAAAATTGACGGACCCAGAAAACAGGTGGATTCTGATGACGTTCACGGGCGAACCTTATGGAAAAATTCACACGAGGAACGAAAGTACCGTTAGCCGTACAATACAGTGACCACGGATAGTCGATTCAGTAAAATAATGCAACGAACGGAACACGGACAACATAAAATACTCGAAACAAAATGAAGACCGCCATGAAAGTAAGGGTGTGAAAGAGTGATGCTGAGTGCGACATTCAGCTACATCACTTGATATTTCTAGGGATAAATCAAGCTGGTTATTATGAGCCTAATAAGAAGCTTGGAAAATATTGGAGCATTTACTCCTGTGTGACATTCCTCTCTATATATGGTATATTGTTACATGCCGTGTTGTAATATTGCTTCGTGTAAAACAGATTACAGTTTTTTACGATGATTGTGCAAAAGTAGGTGTTATTATCGATTAATAAAAAAATACTCAGAACTAATCACATTTGTTTGCGGTAATAAACGCGTGCAATGAGATAATTTAACTGCTTCGATCGATAAATAAAGCTTTAAAGCAAGAACTTGGTTGTACAGTCAAAATAGGTGAACCGTAAAGGATTGGGAAGTTGAGGTTTAAGCGGGTCGAATATAAGGCTCGCTTATTTCTGATGTTACACCGGTAATGAAATATCTATAACTCAGTCAACTTTTTTCAGAGAATGCGGTCTATTAACATTAGTCACAGAATTCTTAGTCTGCTTCAATACCGCTGGCGAATCACTATGGTAGCAAAATAAACGTTTCCAGAAGTTTCGCCTCACTTTGAGAGTTGTTTTTCTCCGTTCGTCTGCTAATCGCTTGGATTCGCTTTCAGTCTCTTCGGCTAGCTGATCAGCCTTATGCTTGGCCTGCAAAGTGACTCGGTCCTGGGCTCTGACAAACACCGGTTTCAGCTTTGGTGCCACTTCATCCTCTGAGCTAGTGTACTCTTCCCCAGAGTAATCCAGTTCCTCTTCATCATCTGCCTCAGCTTCGTCTCCTTCATTGTGCCAGCCAGATTCTAACTTCTCACGCTCAGCGCTGGCAGCCAAAGCCCTTCGCCGTATAAGCTATATAAAGAGATAAGAAGAAGATAGATATTAGCAAGCAAAACTCGGACAGAAACGCCAAAACCGTACAAACAGAAAGAAATCCGATCTGTTTGACCAAAACAAATGGTTATCTACACTACAATACAATGAGATTTGCATCATGCACGCCCCGAAAATTAACTTAAATTAGCAGCACAAAATATTTGTCTTCACCTTTCATGCAACTGTCAACCAAAATGAGTTAACCGGGATAACCCGCCGCAAGAAAACTCGTGTGATAACTGTCATGGAATGAGTGAAAATAACTGTTCGAATATTGGATAGCCGATCATTTTCGAATCCCAACATGGCAATAGTATTTGTCTTCATCTCAAATCTGTCGCCCTGTTACTACTTCACGCTGTGATGATGTATACGTGAATTTTCTCGTTAGCATCAAAGTTCATTACATCACATTTTACGATCAAATTGAACCATAACCGCTAAAATTTGCATTTCTTCTTCTTTTGGCTGGGAAATTCTTTTTGGAAACTAATCTAACATTTAGCGCAGTTAAAAAAATTAAAATACTATTATTTCGATCTATGACAACTGAATAAACTTAGTCTGTTTGACTTATGACAGTATTCTTTTTCTGAAACGTGATAGTAATGATGTACACCAAGTTTCTAGAGCGACTCTTATTCTCACCTTCTCATGCTCTGCTAAACTCCAGATTTTGAACCCGCTTGCTTTCTTTTATTTTCTCGGGAGAGCAGAACTTTATGTTACCGAGCGGATAGGAGATTGGCCATTTCGCGGCTGACCGTGAAAAAGTGGTCGCGGACGATCAGCGGCAGCGATCGAGGATGTGGTGGGTTTACCTCCAGGCAATGGTTCCTCGTACAAAGCACCACAAATATCTGTGGACAGCGCCGTGATGGCGAGTACGGCTAGCAACTAAATATGGTCATGGCCCCTTGTAGGGATCGATCGCCTGACAAAGCTTTAAAAATGAGGCGAATGAGCCGAAAACTGGACCCAAGCTTATCAGGAACAACACTGCTGCCTAGCAGACAGCGCATGGTTGCGCTAAGGCTAGAATGGATCCTTGAACAAGGCCTACTCTGGACCGGGCGACCGAGTAGTACAACAGCCCACAAAATACAACAATGAACTCGCTAGATCTTATGACTCTACACCGTAGCTTCCTCTTCGAGTGAAAAACATTCTACACCGTACACACCCTCGTGTTTCCCTACCTTCCCCCATTTCACCTATACCAACCCCCAACACTCCTCCATTCCTCTCGGATCCTTTAAACGATCGTACTAGCAGTAGTGCCACGGGCGGAAATTCTGCTGCTGTTTCCTCTTGTCCTACCTCGACTGCGGTCCAAGTCTCACCGAATCTCCACCAGCTGAAGCCCTTCTTCGCCCTCGATGTCCATTCAAATTAACCACGTTTCCTATGCCTACTCTGATGCGTATAGGACAACAGGCCGGTTTAGCTCGTACGCTCGAAATCTTAGCCATCCATGCCTGTTGCATCCAAGAGATTAGCACTAAAGACTCCAGCTTTATTATCCGATTGACGTCCCCATCAAACCCATCAGTGAAGTTTCACTTGAACCTACCTGGGGACCCTAAGACTGCGGCTTCCGGTCTTGCTGGCGTTGGTGTGACTCTCAGTGAAACGCCCTCCTGGATTGGATCCCAGTCGACAGTAAGTGGTGCGCAGTGAGACTTAGAGGTTCGTGCAAAGTAATCAGTCGTCGCCATGACAGACGAAACTCGTTTGTTGTACTTGCGTACGCTCCAACGGACGGCAGTGCAAATGCGGTCAAAGATGAATTTTACCTTAATCCACACGACCTCTCACGTAAAGCGAGTCGGGCTGATATTGTGATTTTAGCAGGAGATATGGATGCTATAGTAGGCCGGTTGACCTCGAGTGAGGTGCACCTGAGAGGCTCTTTCGGATTAGATTCCTTGGAAAACAGGGAACGGCTGTCGGCTGTTTGTTCCGACCACTGCCTATTCCTCGCCGCCACGAACTTCAGACGCTCCAACTTGGCGTCCGCCCTCCTCGAGTCAGAGGGACGCAGATCGACCACATCGCTATAAGCTACAAATGGCAGGGTTGTATACAAGACTTCCGGTCGTACTGGAACACTCCCCTCGAATCCGACCAGGCATTTGTATGCGTCAAGCTGTCCATGTGCTTTGGTGGGCGTTCCAAACGCTTGACACATTGACGGTTAGACTGTGATCACTTGTCTGAACCAGCACCCCTAACTGCCTTTCAGAACGCGCTAGCTGAAAAGCTAGAATCAACCCCCCTCGATGACGTTAACTAGCACTGGTCGCTCATCAACAATGCTCTGCATTCTCCTGGCTTAGTTAGTTGTGGTCTGACACGTTGTGCCGTGACACCCTGGATTTCTGCGGAATCTCTACGCCTTCTGGACGCATGTCGGTCTATTCCGAACGGCAGCGAGCATGATGAAATACAACGAGCAACGAGTCGTAACCTCAACGTAAGCCTACGCAGAGACCGCGAGATCTGGTGGTCTCAACGCGCGTCAGAGATGGAACATGCTGCCGCCAAGGGAAGTTCCCGTAAACTGTTCCATCTCGTCCAGGTCACCGGTAGGAAAGCCTTAGGTGTGAGCGAAAAGATCTGCGAAACTGACGGTTCACCCATTCACAATCAACAGCGACGTCTTGAACGCTGAGCGGAGCACTTCAAGGCACAGTTTAGCTGGCCACCAGCGTCAGCTCCTCAAACAGCTATTCCGGCACACGCCCCATGGTCTGTCACAACAGACCCACCTTCTGAGGCGGAAATCCGTAAGGAGATACGAGCCTTGGGACATCACAAAGCGCCGGGCTCCGATGGCTTTCCCCATGCTTTATTTAAAGATGGTGGAATAAAGTTTGTTAGAGAACTACAAGTTCTGTTCCCTAAAGTGTGGAACACGGAGTAGGTCCCCTTTTTGTGGGGGGGGGGGAACAATTATCTTCCCCATCTTCAAAAAGGGCCCGCGCAATGAATGCGTTAATCATAGGGGTATAAGCCTAATCCCAATAGCGTCAAAGCTGTTGGCGTCCGTCATTCTCCGTCGATTGTACACTACGCGTGAGGAGCAGGCTGGGTTTCGCGCCGGTCGTGGATGCATCGATCA